ACTGGTGGCTAATGAGGCCAATACGAGATAGACATATCCAATTGCAAAAGGCACAACAGAAAGACTCCTTAGGTGGTATATTCTGCAAAGCACGATTCTTTCTGCATTGTCTTTTCTCCTCGAGAGTGACTCTGCGTGCGTTCTCAAATGAAGCAGCAGTGTTAAAGATAGTGTGTCTCCCGGCCTCCCAATTGGAGGCCAGAGTAGACCAGTTATGTTGATCAATATGGCCAAGGCTGAGTTGTTGCTTCAGGGAGTCCTTGTATCTTTTCTTCGGGGCTCCTGTCTTGCGGCAGCCGGTGGCAAGTTCACCATAAAGCAGGATCTTAGGGAGGCGGTGGTCCTTCATCCTTGATACGTGCCCTGTCCAGTGCAGCTGTGTTCTCAGTAGCATGGCCTCACTACTTGTGATTGCTGCCTGTTCAAGAACAGATGTATTGGTCACATAATCTGACCAGTGAATGTTTAGGTTTGTATGGAGACAGCATTGATGGAAGTGTTCTAGGAGTTGCAGGTGGTGGCGGTAGATGACCCATGATTCGGAACCATATAAGAGAGTTGACAGCACTATGGCTCTGTAAACACTGATCTTGGTACTTTTCTTCAAGTCTTTATTTCGCCAAACTCTTTTATGGAGTTTTCCAAAAGCACTGTATGCCTTTGCTAACCTGTTGTCTATCTCCCCGTCAATCTTACCATCCGAGGAGATGAGGCTACCTAGGTAATTAAACTGCTGGACTGATTTGAGCTCTGATTGGCCAATGCTGATATGGGGATGATGGAAGACTTCCTGAGGTGCAGGTTGATAGAGAACTTCTGTCTTTTTTAAGCTGACTTCCAGCCCAAAAAGCTCAGCAGCATCTGCAAAGCAGGATGTTAAATGCTGCAGAGCTGCTTCTGTGTGGGCAACAAGGGCGACATCATCAGCATAAAGCAGCTCCCAGACAAGACGGTTTAAGGTCTTAGTGTGGGCCTTCAGTCGCCTTAGGTTGAATAGGCTTCCATCAGTACGATATCGAATGTAGATACCGTCCTGATCCTCGAGGTCTGCCGTGGCCCTTTGGAGCATCATGCGGAAAAAGACTGTGAATAGGGTAGGAGCGAGAACGCAGCCTTGTTTCACACCATTCTTTATTAGAAAGGGCTCAGAAAGTGCATTGTCATATCTGACTTGGCCGTGCTGATCCTCATGAAGTGAGATGATCATTTTAAGGAACTTGGGGGGACATCTTAAATGTTCCAAAATCTGCCATAGACCTTTTCTGCTCACAGTATCAGAACTGATATAACAGATTACTTGATGACAGAGATCTGGGATTCCTTGACTTCTGCACCTCACATCCATATAAATAGGTATTTCTAAAAGTCCTGTGTATTTCTATGCAAACACTTGTGCCACTGGAGTGGTTACCTACTCTAGCTATCATACTGAAAACATCATGAACCATACCACAGCTTTCATGCGCTTCCATCCAAAACATGAAGGCCCAGCATTTTGCTATCTTGGAAAAGAATAGATCAAGGTTTTGCTAACATTGCCTTGAGATTGAAGAAATGCTGTACAAAGATATTTATACCAGTATGATTTGAGAGAGATTTTGGACTGTTGATGTTTTGTCATTCATTCATTGCACAGGAATGCTTGGTGAAAGTTAGCAAATATAATGAAATCACAGCAGAACCCTGAGTTTAGGAGCCTAACCCTGAGGTTATGCATCTAATTCCTTCCAGAGCCACCGTAAAAACAAAATGTTGAATCAGGACTGTGTAGTTTGTTTCCTTTAGCTTTATGAGACTTGCTCTTCCAATTCAGGTCCATCTTTGTGAAGATGAAATCTGTAAACAGGTCAGGGCAGCCCTGGTACATCATGATTTGTCTGATTTTAAAAGTTAAGGAACCCAGTGTAGTAGACTACTAGCTCACTTATGCAGTGAGTATTTATTAACATATGAGGATGCATTAATCTCATAGATGGAGTTGTCCATTTTGCAGGAAAACAACAAATATATATAAATGAATTAGTTTTATAAATAGTCCACCGATAGTGCACCAAATAGCCTTCTCTAAAACCCAAGCTGTATTTCTAATCCTGTGATTTTCCATCACTCTCAAATCATTGCTGGACAGTGTCCTTAATTTTACATGGTCTCAAAGACTAGGAAAGAGATTCCACCGAAAAAATTTCTCCCCTTTCTATTATTGAATTTATAAAATATAGAATCTAACTATGGATTTGAAGTAAAAGTAGTGACATGCTAAGTGCCATGAATGTAGTCATACTCTATGAATAAATGCAACTGTATTTTCTTTACGGCACAAGAGCAAGTGAGCAGTGTTTAACATGCTATGGCAATATGGGTATATTTATTCCCTGTGCTGCAGGCTGTGTTACATCAGGTGTTTTCAGAGGAAAGAAAGTCTTTCTTTTTTTTTTTTTTAAAAAAGGAAGCTACAAATAAAAATCACAAGTGCTGGCACAATGCGAAAAGTAAGAAGACAGCTTTTTGCTATGGCATTTTACACCTCATCAGGGAACATTTTGTAAGTTTGCTCTGTAACCAGAGTTTTAATTAAAACCCAGAATATTTCAAATTCTATCCTTGGTCTCCTTAGTGCAAATTCAGAATGATCATTTATTGTCAATGAAGCTGCTGTGACATTTGCAATAAAATAAATGACTTGTAGAGACCAACATGCTGGCAGGCCCTTTAAATTTCAAACAACCCACACAGTTTCACTGGGATCGCAAGTGGATTGTGACAAAGTCTGTGCCTGTCTTTGTTTGTGGTGTCTAAGACGTTGGACTTTTTCATTCCCTCATGTCATCGGTCATTAGGGTCATACAGAGCAGTGGCAGTCAGTGTTTGAGTGCCAGACCACTGGTGGGTCAGCCACAACTGTGCCTCACGAGGCCATGATGTGCTCCACCAGCTGTGGGAGAGGCAGCTGTCTTCAGGAACACTGAGGTACAGCATGGTTCATTTGGTTTCAAAATGTCAGATGCTGCTCTTCGGGGACCACTTCCCTAAGCCCTGAGTCCTTTACTACTGACTCTGAGCAACACAGATATGCAGAGATCATTTTAAGTGAGAAAATATGAAAAATGAGAAAAGGCTTTGGGTGACAGTATGAGAGGGTTTGTCAAGTCTGAGGTTGCCACTGACTTTCAGTTTGAAGGCTTTACCAGCATTTAGGCATCCATCTACTCTAGAAAATCTTTTCGACTTACGTGTCCTGAAAGGTCATCCAGATCTGCTAGCCTCTGGATTTGTGAGCTAATTGGTTACCTTGAAATGATATTATACCAGAGTTTGAATATGTTGCTGAGGAGAGTTCCCCAGGAGTTTCCGGGAGGATGGTGATTGTTTTGCTTTCATCTTTGGTGTGTGGATGAAATAGAGGATTTGCAAAGTGGTCACCCTACCATGCCAGCAAAAAAGTACTGTCCTACAGTGTAGCTTTTTCTACCTCCTGGTGTTTCAAAACAAGATTTTTATAGTCAAAAGCCATGGAATACCTATACTGCATTTGAGCAAGCAAAACCATAGCACATTTCCACATTATAAGGAAGACAGAACTGGGATTAAAAGGTCTGCTCAGTGCATCTTATCAAAATATTAGGGAAAAGAATAAAAAGAATAGAGCAGAAAATAAAAGTGAAAGTAACTGTAATTATATCATTCAAATTTGCAATATGTTCTTACCGTGTTCCTCCATCTTCTCATATTGACAGTCAATGGTTTATTTTTGAAGATAACAAGCCATTCCTTATGAAAAAGATAAAAAAGAATTAACTTCTTAGGTCAGAGGGACAAAAAGAGAGTGTTACAGAGGATGAAGAAAAAATGAACAGTGCAAATTCTGGTGTCCTCTTTAAATAATCTCATAATGTTGTGGTCAGCTAGACTGAAGTGTAGAACAAGCTTGAAAATTACATTACCTGAAAGTTTAAAATGGTACCATGGGGTTTGCTTTCGAGTCTTACTGCTACAAACTTCACTGTGTAAACAAGCATTGCAGATTTGAGAAGAGTCATCCGTCATCATTGCAAAATGGAATATAAATTCCATTCTTCATGCCTCAGACTGCAAACTCCTTAGATTAACAAATTGAGAAAGGTTCAAGCTAAGAAAACTGCCAGTGTGAGCAAGGTATCTCAAAGTGTTGCAGGAGTTATGTGTGTGCCTTGGCAATGTCTCGTAGAGTCCTTGCAAGGTCCCAGACCAAAAGGATATGTTCTGATAAGGAAACTGGTAGCCCTATGTTGATAAGACCATTTCTTTCATTCCTAAAAAGGTCTGATTTTAATTCTTGCCCAATCTTACAGGTCCCTGTGTGTGTGTGAGCTGGAGAAGTGATTTGGTCTGTGGTCAGCCATGCATTCTGAGCTCCATGAGGATCCCAAATTCCCGCAGCCACATGTCTGCCTTCAGAGAGCAGAGTCTCACCCAAAATTCAGGCCTTTATTCTGTCCCAAAGCTTTAGATTCAGACTGTGTTCATCACTTAAGTCAGCCATGGCAGGTTTGACTCACTGCTTGTGACAGCATGACATTTATTCCTCATGAAAATCACATTCAAGCCTGTGCTGAAATCCAGAGACTTTAGAACTGCTTTTTTCTTTTTCTTTTCTTCCCCCTCCCTCCCCTCCCCTTGATGTTTTAAGACTTCCAGCTGTTCAGCGTTTCTTTAAAAAGAAGTGCATTTGCCAACACTGCATTGAGGACTGGCCCATCCAATCTGAAGGTGCTGGGATGTCAGGGGAGAAAGCAAAAGTGCTGAAGAGCATAATTTCCAGTGCTTCAGTCGTCTGTGCGTGTTCCATGTTTCCCTATTCCATCTCTCCCTCCTCTTTTCCCTCCCCATTGCAGACTCACATCTGTCCGCCCTCTGGCTCACCTCACCCGCTTGCCTCCCGTCCAGGAGGAGAAGTGATGATCTCATTTGGAGCACACCAGTCAGTGTGCTGCACAGGCTCTGCTCACAGGGCTTCACTGTCTACAGTTTATGTACCTGCAGGACCTAAAAATCCAACTTCATTTTCTGCTCTTTTCTTTTTTTTTTATTAAAGACTTGCTCTGTCAGGTAAGTTTCTGTCACAAAGGTACTTCTTCTGATCGTGAAGAATAAATGTATGCAGGTAAAACAGAACCTGACTATGTGCAATATGATATTTGATAATTTATCCATATCTCTGCAGAAAGTCAGCTCTGTGGTGGACAAGTGACCCCATGCCTGATAATCAGGCATAATAGCTGTCTCATCCCTCAAGTTCTTGCTTTATTGAGGTATATATGATATTGTGCAGGGAGAAGAAGGTTTGTGCGTCTGCCTTACCTTTTTGAAATTATTTTTTCCTTTTATTTCTCAATAAAAAGTGTAGAAGTCTGTTCATTTATTTCATTGAATCTTTATTTAGTCTTCCTAAGCATGAATCTTATTCCTTATTGCTTTTCAAATGTTGCATTTTAAAGACTATTCTTCCTTATTCTGAAATATAAGAGTCTGTAGCCTGTTTTTCACAACATGCAGGGTGATTACTTTTGGACCCACGCTTTTGGTACATAAAAACTTAGTACCAGCTCTTTACTGAACTAAATCTACATATTTGTTTCTAAGATGCAGTTGAGATAACGTATTTCTAAAAGATAATACATTCCTAGAATCAGAGCTTTCTAGTCTGAGAAGTGCTATAGCTCTTTCATTCTGGTTTTGCTCTATGAACTTATCAATGGACAGAGAGATACCTAAACCTAATTGTGACAGCCTTGACTTTTTTTTGTTATTGGCTGATGGCAGTAGAATAAAAATTGTGTAGCAACAAAAAGCAAGCATAAGCATGAAGAGAACCTGATCACAGAGTCACTTTTTCTAGATAGCCAGTATCAGAAAATACATCTAATATCTAACTCAAGTTCTAATTTTTATTTTACTTTTTTTCCTTAGCTGGTGAATGACTCTGGTCATTTCTGGACATGCAGCCTTTGGCATGATTCTGTCAGTTCACTGGGCAAAACCTTGAGTCTTTGTGTGGGTGCAATGGAGAGCCAGCTGGCAGTGTTCAGAGTTCACATCGTCCTGAAAGCAGATCCTCTGAGAGCCATGCTGAAATGCAGGCCTGATTTCATCAAGAGAATGAAGTGGACATAAGGAGGATGTTCACCTTTTCTGGAAGCCAGGTTACTAACAGCAGATAGAAGTACTTTCCTGAGATGCTGAGGTGGGAGCTCTGTGGCAGTCAGTCCCTGTCCTAAGCAGCCTATAATGAACAAGAATATTTGAAATTTAAGGGGCTGAGGTATAGAGATTGCATCCCCAAACTTTTGTTTGTCTATATGACCCTACCAATGCAAAGTTTAGTGCATTATCAGAATCTGGGGAATCAGCAGGAAATTTTCAGATTCTCTGAAATTTTTGGTCAAGTGCCACCTTTTTTATGTGATTATGCCAAATTTAAAGGAAGAGAATGCCTCTCTCCCCTCCATGGCCCACACCTCAGCAGCTGTAAATATCTAAAAACTTAGCCTATCCTAAAACTTATCCTAAAACCTATCCTAAAACTGCATGCTGGCTCTTTAATGTGACATATTTGTCTGAAAGCTTCTTTCCCTTCTATATGATATGGTGAGGTACAAGGAGCATGAATTATTAGAAATGGCTGCTTGAGCAGTTTTACTGTGTTCTCTTCATTTAATGTTCTTTTAATAAAGAATGGGAAAACAGTGAAATTGGTAAGAGTTCACAGAAATATTCTTCTATGTACAGTATGGAATTTCAATAGTCTTAGGAAACCAACTCTTAAGCCAGTCTACAGAATTCCCTCCAACAGCCTTTTATTAAATTAGCCTGTTGAATTCTGTCAGGTTTTTTATCCTTTCATAATGTCATAGGATTTTCTGATAGAAGGATGGATCTGTTTTTGCCGTTTTCCACCCCCAATTGTGTTTACAGCTCAAGTAAATAAAATCCAAGGCATTGTGATGCTTGTTTTCCCTGTAGCCTTTCTCAGAAAAATGTCTCTGTTGATAGAAGAGCTTGATTATTACTGCCCCACTCCCCCCCCATGGTTGAAAACTTTCTGGAACAAACCTATTACAAAGGAAAACAAGTCTGATCAAAGCATTTTGAAGGAAATATTTTAAGTGAAAGTGATAACTCAAATGTCTCCTTGATCTTTTGACAAAATGATGTTTTATTCCTCTCTGTTACTCTTACAGGACTTGGCTTTCCTTGTCAGCAGCTGTGGTCTTGGTGTTGGAGCGTGCCTTTGTGGAAGGGAGCTGTCTATTGCATCTGGATTGCAATCATCCTGATCCCTTTTCTTCTCAAACCATAAGTGAACTCCTGTGAACCATTTAATGTCTTCATTGTCTTCAGAAGTGGTCTTTTACTTGTGCCCTGCGTGTGTCCCACTGCAGGCTGCCTGTAGCAGCAGGCACTCAGCCACATCCTGAAAATACAAGAAGGTCAAGGGATGTTAATGTGACATTTAACAGTGCGTGTTACTGACAAGTGACATTTTATTGGGGGAGATTTCATAAAGAGAGCAGTTTAATGAGAATCAGGAAGTGAACACACAGTTTTAATTTAAAAAATTATTACACTTCCCTTTTGTCATATTTATTTCAGTAAGTAATTTCTGCAGACTTCAATACTAGTTTATTTGTGGGAGTGATGTACATAAAGGCAAAAGGAAACAAAAAATGCTGCATCTTTTATTGAAGAGTGCTGCAATTCTAAAATTTAGAATTAGTTTAATCTGGCAAGACAAATATTTTGCCTTCTGTTTTTAGTCACTGTGTAAAATTAGTTTGATCAATAAGAGGGAAAGTGGTCGGGCAGTGATGTCACCTTATCTTTTAAACAGTAGCCTACTAGTCTTGAAAGATACTTATGTTTGCAGGATAAAACCTAATACAGCACTACTGGAGACTGCAAATTCATGACTTCAGTCCCAAGTCTGGTTTATATGATTGTTGAAATTACCTGGATTCTCTTTGTAGCTGTACACATTTTCTTTTGTCATTTACTTATTCTGATGAATAAGTGGAAGACATTTATGAATAAATGATCATTCATATCTCACTTTCAGGCTAAGATGACCTAATAGAGAGAGGGAAAAAAGAGGCTTTGTTAAATATGTGCTTAAACAGGCTGATGTTCTTGCTTGTGCTTTTAAGCACCTCACTGAGGAAGGTTGATTTGCTGCTGTGTTTTTGAAGCATGGCATTCATCAAACCACACCAGCCTAGCAGGCAGAGCAGCTACACTCGAGACATACATAGAGGTGGGGAATGGTAACAGCAGTAAAGATCACATCTGGTATGTTGTCAAAGGGGAAATCATCTCCCCTATCCCTTTAAAAGGACCTTACGCTTGTAAAATTCAACCACAGGCAAAAACACCAGGAAGATGCCAATTAAAAATACTGGATCCAATTTATTCAACAGGCACATGTTTTCAGGAAGGATTAGGAGGGAAAAAGTGGAGAGGAAATGAGAAACACCCTTGTCAAGGTCAGATGTAAAGCAGAAGGGCATTGCTTGTTTCATATCAGAGCATGGGAGAGAATGGCAGGCCCTAGAAAATGATATCTAATCGTGCTCAAGTGTTGCAATCAGGAAGGGAAAGTAACGGTCAGACAAATCTTCCTCATTAGAAAGTCAGCATAAGAGAACCCACAGATAAAGGATTATTAGGGGATTTTTGTTTGCTTCAGAGTTGGAGGTTTTTTTTTATTTCTCTTAAAAGTTGGTAGCTCTGGGCATCTTTCAGCAGGTGACAGGAAATCTAGCCTGTCTATTCAATAAAACACACCATTTTCATTTGGCTTGTGTGCTGTCACTCTAAAGAATCCTCTTAATCATGTGTTTCATCACTGAAATGAAATGTGATGGAAATTTCTTTCTACTTTCCATGTTCCCACTAGCACCACCACCACAGATTTAACAGTTAATCCTGTAGATGCCCCAAAAGCACAACCGCATGTCCACTTCCTTAATAATTTTATTCAAATGTTGGGAGTACTTAGGGGGAAATGGATAGCTACATCAAACTTAAAAAGCTGGTTATTGTAGAGGGAGGTAGGCAGAAGGTATATCCCACCAATATATTACACATATCTTCAAGGCTGCAGAAATAAAGAAACATTCAGTAGTTAGTGGATACCTTTGAAAGATGGTGAAGAGGACAAGGAGTTCTCTCTTTTCACAGTAAACACAGGAGAAAAGAGAAAGCTAAAGAAATGTCCTACTCATCACAAGCTGCTCAGAGAGAAAGTTCTGTGTGGAATTACCAGAGCAGATTTGGGTCTGATGGTGCTGATGGACTTTTGGGGACTGGAGATCTGAGCTACTTACAGTTGTATCTGAGTTTCTCTCTGTCCAACCTATACCTCTGTATAGTGCACACAGAGAGTGGCTAACAAGGCCCGTGTTCGCTGGGGTTAAGCAAGATACAACCCAAGTGTATCCACTTATCCTTCTGAGAGTTCAACAATTCCTAAGTCTTTTACTGGGTTTCTGAATGGGGTGAACTTCACAGACTATGAGCTGAAAGGGATTTTGTGGTGGGAATTGATATTAGTGTATAATTAGGCTAGCTGGTGCTAGCAAAAAAACCCCAAACTAATTAGTAAAGGGAAAGATTTGCTTTTTTATCAGTGGCTTTTACAATGCATAGTGGATGCTGTTCTCATTAGAGGGTATGTGCAGACAAGCTGGGAAATGTATAAATTTTACCCTACTGAAAAGCTGTATTCGTGTGCATGGTAGGGTGAGAGAAAATTTTAAAAGCATTAGATATTTAATAACCCATGTCTCAGTGTAGTGATAAATTGGAAAAAAATAAGTGGGAAGGTATATTAGGTATATTTATCTAACAAATGAAGGTAAACCCATTCAATGAGCATCACAAGTAAGAGGGGTGCAGTAGACAAAGTTCTTTTTCTTAGATTAGGAGTTGGTAAACCTTATTTGCCTCATTTATCATCAGTTACACTGCTACCTTTATTGCAGTTTGGCCAGCCTCAGCAGGTTTCAGGCCCTGCACAAATATAAAAGTGACTTGAAATCACAAAGCTTACAATAATAATAGTATATCCTGAGTGGGTTTATTTGGTTTTGGTTAGAACCACCAAACTGCAGATAGGTTATGTTTTTCAGTGTGAGCTTATGCAATAGAAGATATATATACACATATTGCTTTCACACATAAAAGGAAAGACTGAAGATTTCATGTTACTGCTTTTGTCCACTTCCTCAGTTTTTGAGGAAGTGTACTAAGCCTGCATTATAAACCCAACTGAAGACTGGGTTTTATACCTACATGATTTTCTGTGACAAAAAATGACATTGGAGTAATATTTCACTGATGCCCTTGTTTATGTCTGGTATTTTATACTTGTTTAGCAATCAGTTTACTTTTATAAGAACATAGATTTGCAACTGCTTTCTTGCTGGGGAAAAAAATGATGCAGAGATTAGTAACATAAAAAATTATTTCCCCTTTTGTTTCCCAATGTTTTACCTTTTTTTTTCCTGCTTAAATCCTCAATTGTGAAATCATTTTAAAATATTGGATGTCCTAAGGACGCAGTAAAAAGCTATGTGCCAGCCAAATAGCTATTCATTCCAAGTAATGTCAAACAAGCCCATCTAGTCAGGTTTTGAGAGACATATTTTTCTTTACATATTTCTTTATATGAGAGGTCTAAAAAGGTTTATGAGGCTTCAAAAATGGTGTTTTTTAAAAGAAAAAGTTTGAGACACTTGTTTTTGACAATTCTTTTATAAAATGTACCTATTTTTTAAATACTAACTAAAATCTTCCAGTTTCCAGGAAAAAATTATAGTTATCCTTAACTAAATCCTGTTCAATGAAATAATGTGTGTATACAAAAGACACACGGTAAAGTTTAAGGAATAAAGCATAACAAATAGAAAAATTGAGAAAGAGTAAGTTTTTAATATTGATATCAGAAGTAGTTTGAATGCTTTCTCAAAGAGAGGGCTCTTTTGCTTGCTTCAGTGGCCATGT